ATATGTCAAATGCAAATGTGTAAATAACCCGAGGGCCTTCGAGCAGTTGCTATGGTGTTCAGTGAGGGTCAAAGTGTGTTTTTTAAGGGGTCTCGCGTAGCCAGAGCTTCAGGCTGACGGCAGAAGGGGTAAGTGGTTGCTAGGCTGTTGTTATGTGGTTGCAAATATGTTTTGTATGGTTGCTAACCTACTGTTATGTGATTGTTTGGGTGTTGTGAATGGTTGCTAGGCTGTTGCTAGGGTGTTGTGGCCTGTTGCTAGGTGTTTACTTATCTCACATGAAACGTGTCCAGTGCCATCGTGTCTCTTTGATCTTCATGTCTGTAGATGTGACTTGGGTTCCTCCTTCAGCGTGTGTGTGTGTGTGTTTGTTTGTGTGTGTGTGTGTGTGTGTGTGTGTGTGTGTGTGTGTGTGTGTGTGTGTGTGTGTGTGTGTGTGTGAGAGAGAGAGAGAGAGAGAATGTGTGTGTGTGTGTGTGTGTGTGTGTGAGAGAGAATGTGTGTGTGTGTGTGTGTGTGTGTGTGTGAGTGAGAGAGAGAGAGAGAGAATGTGTGTGTGTGTGTGTTTGAGTGTGAGTGTTTGTGTGTGTGTGTTTGTATATTTGTTAGAGTACGAGTGTGTGTGTGTGTGTGTGTGTGTGTGTGTTTGTTTGAGTGCGAGTGTGTGTGTGTGTGTGTATTTGTCAGAGTACGAGTGTGTGTGTGTGTGTGTGTGTGTGTGTGTGTGTGTGTGTGCGTTTGTTTGAGTGCGAGTGTGTGTGTGTGTGTGTGTGTGTGTGCGTGTTTGAGTGCGAGTATGTGCTCTTGTTTTCATGACAACTGAGGACATTTTTATGATAACACACCTTCAATATGAGGACACTCGGAAAAATGAGGACATTTCCTGAGTCCTCATATTTCAAATGGCTTTAAAAACACACTAAGCAGTGTTTTATTAAAAATGTAAAAATGCAGCATGTCTCCTGTGATGGGCAGGTTTAGGGATAGGGGCAGTGTGTGTGTGTGTGTGTGTGTGTGATGGGTAGGTTTAGGGATAGGGGCAGTGTGTGTGTGTGTGTGTGTGTGTGATGGGTAGGTTTAGGGATAGGGGCAGTGTAGGGGGATAGAATATACAGTTTGTCCAGTATAAAAGTCATTACGCCTATGGAAGGTCCTCATATATCACAAAAACACAGCTGTGTGTGTGTTTGTGTGTTTGTGTGTGTGTGTGTGTGTGTGTGTGTGTGTGTGTGTGTTTGAGTGTGAGTGTGAGTGTGTGTGTGTGTGTGTGTGTGTGTGTGTGTGTGTGATGGGTAGGTTTAGGGATAGGGGCAGTGTAGGGGGATAGAATATACAGTTTGTCCAGTATAAAAGTCATTACGCCTATGGAAGGTCCTCATATATCACAAAAACACAGCTGTGTGTGTGTTTGTGTGTTTGTGTGTGTGTGTGTGTGTGTGTGTGTGTGTGTGTGTGTTTGAGTGTGAGTGTGAGTGTGTGTGTGTGTGTGTGTGTGTGTGTGTGTGTGTGTGTGATGGGTAGGTTTAGGGATAGGGGCAGTGTAGGGGGATAGAATATACAGTTTGTCCAGTATAAAAGTCATTACGCCTATGGAAGGTCCTCATATATCACAAAAACACAGCTGTGTGTGTGTTTGTGTGTTTGTGTGTGTGTGTGTGTGTGTGTGTGTGTGTGTGTGTGTGTGTGTGTGTGTTTGAGTGTGAGTGTGAGTGTGTGTGTGTGTGTGTGTGTGTGTGTGTGTGTGTGTGTGTGTGTGTGTGTGTGTGTGTGTGTGTGTATTTGTTAGAGTGCGAGTGTGTGTGTGTGTGTGTGTGTGTGTCTGTGTGTGCGCGTGCGTGCGTGTGTGTCTCTGTGTGTGTGTGTGTGTGTGTGTGTGTGTGTGTGTCTCTGTGTGTGTGTGTGAGAGAGAGAGAAAGAGAGAGAGAGAGAATGTGTGTGTGTGTGTGTGTGTTTGTTTGAGTGTGAGTGTTTGTGTGTGTGATTGTGTGTGTGTGTGTGTGTGTGTGTGTGTGTATTTGTTAGAGTGTGTGTGTGTGTGTCTGTGTGTGCGCGTGCGTGCGTGAGTGCGTGTGTGTGTGTTTCTCTATGTGTGTGTGTGTGTGACGTGTGTGTGTCTCTGTGTGTGTGTGTGTCTCTGTGTGTGTGTGTGTCTCTGTGTGTGTGTGTGATGCTCTCAGTTATTGATGTTGTGGCTGATGGGACTAAAGCTCATGAAACACAGTAATACTGTCGTCCTCACAGCACATCATTTTCTAAAGTGCCACCAGGAAAATGAAATCATTCAAACTCAATCTGAAGCTTTTTCCAGACAACAGCCACTCGAGACCCTCGAGGAATAACAGCAGACACGAGAGCAGGACGACGCGCCCCAGTTTACCCTTATTTGTGCTATTGAAAGTGAAAAAACAACAGCTAAGCAACAAATATTTTATATAACAGATTTTCATCTTGGATTAATTTGCATTCATAGTCCACAGCCACAAAACCACAGGAACCTGAGTTTAGTTAAATCAAGAAAACTAAGTAAAAAAAATGCAACTTTATTGTGTTATCCTTGACAAAGAAGTTATATTGCTACTTTTTAATGTCAAATAAACTCAAACTCAATAAAGAAAAAAACTCAGTTTACTATTGTAAATGTAAAAATGAATGTAATTTTCCTCAAGCAGCAAAATCATATTTCAGAATGTTTCTGTACATTACCACAAAATCTAGATATTTCATCCAAAGAATGTTTCTTGTTATAATTTAGACTTTAAATGTGCAATTACGCTTCATCTAACAGTGAATAATAAGTAAAGTTGTGTCCGAAGCTCAGGGGTGTTTCAGCAATACAACTATAGTCTATACAACAAAATAAGCTTTTTCCTGCACACACAATCTAAACAATGCTGGGTTGTTTCAACCCAAATTTGGGTCAAATATGGACAAACCCAAATGTTGGGTAAAAAATGTAATTTAAAATTTTAACCCAACTTCAACTTTCACTTTCAACTGTACATTTTTTATTACATTTTTAACCCAACATTTGGGTTTGTCCATATTTGACCCAAATTTGGGTTGAAACAACCCAGCATTTTTTAGAGTGTACTTTGTCTTTAACTTGCTGTTGGGAATAGTATGTATATGGTGTTGTGATTATTGCATGTAAGCTCAGTCTTGTTTGTAAAACTTTCATTTTTAATGCCTTTCTATTAATGTTCTATAAAAACTTCCCAGAAGGAAATGAAATGGTGATACTGGTAAACTCACTGTGGTTTTATGGATTCTGCAGGGCACTTCATACCATGGTCAAAAACATGTTAATATACTGATATTTCCTATTTTCCAGTAAGTGAAGGATAATCGAGTGACGTTGTAGAGCCAGCGGTGACATCATGTCATTTACTGTAAAACACTGACCTCTAGTGACACACACACATTAGCTGAGTCTCACACTACTCATATATATTCATATATATATATTAGGCTATATACGTTTATTTAAAAAAAATTAGATACATACATCTATGCATATATTTATATTATATGTATATACAGGTGAAACTCGAAAAATGACAATATGGTGCAAAAGTTCATTTATTTCAGTAATTCAACTTAAAAGGTGAAACTAATATATTATATAGACTCATTACATGCAAAGTGAGATATTTCAAGCCTTTATTTGTTATAATTGTGATGATTATGGCTTACAGATATGAAAACCTTTTCACAATATTCTAATTTTGAATTTGGGGTTTTCATAGCTGTAATCCATAATCATCAAAATTATAACAAATAAAGGCTTGAAATATCTCACTTTGAGTCTATATAATATATTAGTTTCACCTTTTAAGTTGAATTACTGAAATAAATGAACTTTTGCACCATATTGTCATTTTTCGAGTTTCACCTGTATATACATATAATATAAATATATGCATAGATGTATGTATATAATTTTGTTTAATAAATGTATAGCCAAATATATATATGAATTTTCATTACTGTAATTGTATTGTTTGGTCACATATAATCTGCACACCATATAAAAAATAAAAAGCTATTTTCTGTGTGTAAAATCATCACTGACTAAAATATAGTTTACTTTTCAGCCATCTGTTATTTTATAGATGAATCTTTTCTTTATTAAAGCAATAAGCCACGAAACCCACATTTCATGAGAATTAGAGATTTGCATGAAGGAATGAATGTCAAAATATCAAGGCAAAAAAAAAAAGTTTCAACTCGTTTTATTTAAAGAGTAAAGTTTCTCAACTAAACGTAATTCAGAATTTACAATGTTTACACTTTATGCAAAATTAAAAAAATAAGTCAGGTGTAATTGATCTTGTTATCATAATTAATTGAAATGCATCTTATAAAAAGCTAAATGACTAAATTAAGATAAAGAGCTGTTGCATTATTCACATTAATTTTTTAACACTTTTGCACCTGTAAAAATTCATGACTTGTTGTTTCAGTAACACTTTACAATAACATTATAATGCAACATAAACTTCCCTATCCCCCATATAGTGCACTTATCATTCTCTATCCCCTATCACACACACACACACACACACACACACACACACACACACACACACACACACACACACACACACACACACACACACACACACAGTGTGTGCCATTCACCATATAGAAACAATAAATGTGTGAAGAAGTGACTGATTTCAGCCGCAGCGTCTGTTTATAATAAGGGGCGGAGCTTCAGATTCTAGAGAGCATTTGATTGGACAGAAAATCTAATGATTAGCTGAAGTGCAGAGTGATATCATCAAATCATTGATCCATATCGGCGGAAGTGAAAGACAGTAAGTTTTAATATCTTCTAAATGCGAATTTTGTTATTATAGATAGGCTAACCATAAGACTAACATTATTAATACTAAAAGCCAGAAAACGTCCATTTTGATTTCATGTGGACTTTAATGGACATGAACTAACAGTTGTAGTTTTATTAACTAACATTAGCATAGATTAATAAATATTGT